GTATATGCATGTGTTTGTGTGTGTATGCGTGTGACTGTCATTGTCTGTTACTGATGAAAGATAGCAGATGCTATCTGAAATATCTATATTAAATTTTGATGATATTTTGTACAATTGTGTGTTCCCTGAAACGGCAAAGTTCAGCCTCTTTTTACATTGTATTTTTAGGCTGCAATGTTTTAGTTTTGTGTCAATTTGGGAATAAACCATTTATATAGAAATGTCTGACATTTCATGGAATTTATCCAGTTGCTTGATTTAGTTCATTTTATAAAATGTTCTACAAATGTACCTGGATGTCTAACATCCATTGATATATCTAAAAGCTTGTTTAGGATGTTAAATGTTTAAGAGAAAAACTCTTAAAGGTTAATGTATAATCATACTGTTTTTGTGGGTTTTTTTTTCTGTTTTATGTGTGTGTCTGTGTGTGTGTGTGTGTGTGTGTGTGTGTGTGTGTGTGTGCACTATGTGTGTGTGCATGAATGTGTGCATGAATGCATGTATGTGTTATGTAATGCACATGTAATCTTCAACTATAACACACAGGTGAAGTAAAATCAGCACCAAGGAAAGACCCTGCTCAGAAAAGGAAATTTTTGACTTCTTCTTTTGCTGTGTATGTTCTTCATTTTCAGTACCTTTGCTCATGTACCTGTGCATTTGCAAAATTATGCCCATACTTTCTTTTGTTTTGTTTTTTATTTAATTTAATTTTATTTTTCAAATCTCAAGATCTACCACGTTTTTGGAAGGATTGACATAACAGTACTTTTGAATATGTCAACCCAGAGACCAGACTGTAAGGTTTGGTCCACTCACACTTGGATGGAACCCTACTCTTTTCTACTTTTATCCATCCACCTCAAGAATGTTGGAAAATATAGTTTATATATATACTTGGTTTAGTGCTAACATGTTATACAGTTCTAAAATTAATGCATTTTTAGAGGTTACATACTAAAAGGATTGCAAGGTTATATAATTTTGCCCCCCTCCCCCTTTTGAATGGAACAGGTGAAGACCAAGGTCGATGAGTTCAAGGAACACATGCCCCTGATAGGTGCCCTGTGTAACCCCGGATTGCGGGACCGGCATTGGGAGAAGATGTCCGAAATTGTCGGCTACACCCTTCTGAGTGGCGAGGTAAGTTTCAAGAATAAACACAATACTCTGTGATTTCATTGGGAAACTTCATTCTACGTGGATGTACAAAATCTTGTATACATGTACTAATGTTAGTGAACAACTTTATATAAGGATTACCTGTTCATTGTGTTCTATTCAACTTCAATTTTCAGAATACAGTATGAATACCTCTATGTATGCAAAGAATTAATTCAGGTGGCATTCTTGTTTAACTATATGAATTTCCAGACCATATTCTAATGTCTTTGTCATCTCCATAGGACATGACAATGGCCAAGTTCATAGACATGAACCTGGAGCCGTACCTGACCAAGTTTGAGTCCATCAGTGAGGCTGCCAGTAAGGAGTACTCCCTGGAGAAGGCCATGGAGAAGATGAAGACTGAATGGACTGATGTGAGTTTTTGGCAACACCTTAGGGGCAGAGCCATTAGTGTAGTGCTGTGATCAAGTAGTTCATCTTTCTATGGAAGTTATGATTTTCTCAGTGTTTTCCTGCTGGTTTGCTAATCAGTTGTTTCTTGAAGGGGTTATTAGAAATTTTTTGTGACTTTTGGGTAAAGTAAGTCTTAAAATGATCATGGTGGTTTCAATTTTGTGGTAACCTCCATTTTTGTGTTTCCAATATATTGCTTCAACTGTAAACACTTGAAAAACCCTCTACCATAAAATTGAGTTCCCCAAATAAGTGAACTTATAGTGCACTGTATTAGGAACAACTATTTTGAATAAGGGTAAGATTCACTTTTTTTAATTTTTAGGATGGTCTAAGAAATAAAGTAAGTTAAACTTAGTTGATATGTATGTGGTACTACATGCTGTAGTGTATTTGAAATTTGATGGCATTCTGAATACTTCTGAATAAGTCACAAATGCGTTTTTCCGCAGATGGAGTTCAACTTCATCCCGTACCGTGAGACAGGCACGAACATCCTGTCCTCCGTGGACGACATCCAGATGTTACTGGACGACCAGATCGTCAAGACACAGACCATGCGGGGGTCACCCTTCATCAAACCGTTTGAAAATGAAATCAAGTGAGTTTTCCTTTCCATTCTTTCATTCATTGATTCATACATTTGATCTTCTTGTCTCTCATTCATGAAAATAAGATGTTTCATTCATACATGAAAATTGAAAAAAAAAGGACTTTAACTAAGCATATTTATGTTCTGATCTTCAGAGAGTGGGAGGCTAAACTGATGCTGACCCAGGAGATCCTGGATGAGTGGTTGAAGGTCCAGGCCACCTGGCTGTACCTGGAACCCATCTTCAGCTCACCTGATATCATGGCACAGATGCCTGAGGAGGGCAGGTAACCATTTGACTCTGTATCTGTATAGCCGGTAAAACCGCCCTTCGGCTTAACACACCAGCAAAATTTCACCGTCTTAGGAAAAAAGGACATGTTTGCAAAATGTTCATGGTGGTGGCAGGTGCAGAAGACAGATAGTTGGCAAATCATTTGTTCCCAGTAATGATAAATTCATGGTAGAAGTGGCTGTGAAAAGAGTAGAAAGGCTGTAATTCTTCATCCTGTCCAACAGGCGGTTCAGCACCGTGGACAAGACCTGGCGTGAGCTGATGAAACTGGCGCTGGTGGACAAACATGTGCTGGTGGTGACGGACATCGACAAGATGCTGGAGAAGCTGCAGAAGTCCAACGAACTCCTGGAACTCATCCTCAAGGTACGCTTGTTTTTGGCTACACCTCGTGGTTGGAGCCTTTTTCTTCTTCTGATCCTAATCATTACATGCCTATTATTGACTGGTTGCTTTAGGGTCACAAACTATTGGGGGATTCCCAACTCAAGGTAAGATTTGTAGGTTTATTTTTGTCAACCCCTCAAGATTGGAGCCTTTAGCTTCAACCAAACATGATATGATACTGTATAATATACTATTGAATGGTTACTCATAGAGTCTTGATATGTCTTATTTTTCTCAGGGTCTGAACGAGTACCTTGAGAAGAAGCGTCTGTACTTCCCGCGCTTCTTCTTCCTGTCCAACGATGAGATGCTGGAGATTCTGTCCGAGACCAAGGACCCAACCAGGTACGTAACCATAGAATTGTCGCACCTCGCGCCTTTGGTGCTTAAAATGATATTACAACAAACAAACTTGAGATGACGGAAAAAATTTTGGCTGGCTAGAACACTGCTGTATTGCAATGCATTCTGTCCATCCTTACTCCAGAGTGCAGCCTCATCTGAAGAAGTGCTTTGAGGGCATCGCTAACCTGGAGTTTACCGACATCCTGGACATCACGCACATGAAGAGTAGCGAGGGGGAGATCATCCTGCTCACGGAGCCCATCTCCACGTCCAAGGCCCGCGGCCAGGTGGAGAAATGGCTGCTCGAGCTGGAGGGAATTATGAAACTCAGTGTGCACAAGGTAAGGATCATGTAGTTATGATAATATGAACAATTTCTACCTTGGACTTTGGAGGTTTTGTTATTGGTGTGTTTGTGTGTTTCAAGGGATATCTTGCAAGGGATGAAGAGGATAACTACTAAGTATTATAATTATAAGTTGTTTGTTTATGTAGTTATTTCAACTTGCTAGCAATGAAGGGGGCACTGACAGGAAGTTAGGTCAAAGATCCCAGAAAAGGTTATCTCATTTCCTGTCTTCAGTTTCCTGCTTTGTCAATGTATTGGCAGCTAGTTTGACATTGACAATGACTGCTTTTCCCAGGTGATTGAGAAGTCCCTGCACGCGTACAAGGAGATATCACGAGAGGAGTGGGTACTGAAGTGGCCGGGACAGGCCGTTCTGGCCGTGACCTGCTACTACTGGACGTCCCTGGTTCATACTGCCATCCGCGGCGGTGCCCAGGCCATGGCAGACTACCTGGAACAGAACAACCAACAGGTATATAAAAACAAACATCAACATAAGGCTTGGATATTTTGCTGTAGGAGAACAACCAACAGCCATGATGCAAACTATTGAGTAGTAGTAGTAGTTATTGTAGTAGTAGTAGTAGTAGTAGTAGTAGTAGTAGTGATAGTGATAGTAGTAGTAGTAGATAGTGGTGGTAGTAGTAGTAGTGGTTGTAGTAGTTACTGTAGTAGTAGTAGTAGTAGTGGTTGTAGCCAGTCTTTGACTGACTTCAATGTAATGAAATAGATAGATAGACATAGATACAGATTTAAAGCCCTGATAAAACTGGGATCCTAATCAAAGAATTGTTCCCTCACTAGATCAACAAAATCGTTGAGCTTGTTCGTGGTAAACTGTCGAAGGGGAACCGTATCACGCTCGGCGCTCTGGTGGTGTTGGACGTGCACGCCAGAGACGTGCTGCAGACCCTCGTGACAACCGGCGTCAGCAAGGAGAACGACTTTGATTGGTTGAGCCAGCTGCGTTACTACTGGGAGGTGAGGAAATAGACCAATCAGAATAGCTTTCAGTACCATGGACAGCCACAGTTTTTCTTGAGGATCAACACAAGTTTTCTTTACACATAAATCTAGCTGGCTTTTGCTTTTTGTCTGTTTCTTTGAATCATTCTTTATTCATGAGAAGCTAAAATCAGCCTTCAGGCCTCTTTTCATTGAGGTCATGAGGGAAGATGGGAGAGGACCTATGTTCCGACAACCCTGTATGTTGGAACGTGAGGCTGTAAGAACATAAGGCTTTGCCCTTGATTTGGTGTGACATGGAAATTCCCTTTAACTTTTTCTACGACAGTGCGATCCTACTTGAATACAGAGTTATCAACCTCATGTTTTTCTTTGTATAGGAAGAGAAAATGGTGACTCGGATGATCAACTCCACTCTTGCCTATGCGTATGAGTACCTGGGCAACTCTGGACGTCTGGTCATCACCCCTCTCACTGACAGATGCTACAGGTAAGCTGTTGTGTCCAAAGCTGTCTTTTATCCAGAACTATGCTCAGGTATGGTTATGGATAGTCCACACATTTCCAGAATTGTGCATGGAGCAAAGGAAGGAGTCAGAATGTCTTGAAAGGGGGGGGGGAAGCCTCATGTTCAGCCTTGCAATTGCTCTTAGCTATCTGGCACCATCTTATTTAATATGACAATGCCTATAGAGTTGAAATTTAAAGACCATATGCATGGCAGTGTCCATTATTTACTGTAACTGGAATTGCATTGCAAAAAGGATCTCCTAGCTAAAGAAACACTGTCGTTTTTTTTACTGCAACAGAAAAATAACAAATTGAATACAGGCTGGCAAAATGCTACCACCAAAAAAATGGGTAATATACATAACATTTCATGTGTATTGAAGAAAAAATAAGCAAAGCAAGTTATAGAAAATTCTTCAATTTACTTATTACATATTATTACATATCTTTGTTTCTTTCTCCAATAGAACCCTGTTCAGTGCCCTCCACTTGCACTTGGGAGGTGCCCCTGAGGGCCCGGCCGGTACTGGTAAGACTGAGACCACCAAGGATCTGGCCAAGGCCGTGGCCAAACAGTGTGTGGTGTTCAACTGTTCTGATGGTCTGGACTACCTGGCTCTGGGCAAGGTAGGATTATTATGCCTTTGTGCGGTTTTGTTGTCTATTTTAACTATTTAGGCCCTCTTTACACCAGATAGTGATCGGCAAGCAACTTCTGAGTGACCGAAATTGGATTTCTGTTACCCTTGATTTTATAATGATGCACAATAAAACATATGATTGAAGAGCCAACAACAAAAAGACACGTAAAGAAATTGTTCTTCACAGTCTCTTATGAAAAGTTTGTATTAGAATATTAAGAATATATTCATTTTGCTGTGTCAGTTTTTATAGTTATGCTGCACTGATTTGAATTCATGAATAACATCCTCTGCACACCCCAAAAACTGACGCTAGCATGAAAATAAAAAGAAAAGATAGGGAATAAATAATAGGCATTGTCTTGTTTCAAAATAATTGCTCTTGCTTATTTTGCCTCTTCTTGTGATTTTTTTTCCAGTTCTTCAAAGGCCTGCTGTGTACAGGAGCCTGGGCCTGTTTTGACGAGTTTAACCGGATTGATCTGGAAGTGTTGTCTGTGGTGGCCCAACAGATCCTCACCATCCAGAGAGGTAAACACACATTAGGCAGCCACTCTCTCATTGGTTGGACAGATAATTGCCATGCTGTCATTGGTTGAACTGCTAATTGTGATGGACATTTCTGTATAGGTCTATTCCACAGGGCACTTTCCATGTCCTTGGTGCTGAAAACACTATCCCTGTTGCAGATAGTACTGTCCCTGTCCTTGGTGCTGAAAACACTATCCCTGTTGCAGATAGTACAGTCCCTGTCCTTGGTGCTGAAAACACTATCCCTGTTGCAGATAGTACAGTCCCTGCCCTTGGTGCTGAAAACACTATCCTACTATTGCTCTCAGATGTGTAAACTATGCAGATTTATTTGGGGGGTCTCAAATGTTTTTAAACTAACTGAAGTTTTCTGTACTTCCAGGCATCAACTCTGGTGCTGACATGCTGACATTTGAGGGCACGGAGCTGAAACTTGACCCCACGTGTTCTGTGTTCATCACCATGAACCCCGGGTACGCCGGGCGCTCCGAGCTGCCTGACAACCTGAAGGCACTGTTCCGCCCCGTCGCCATGATGGTACCGGACTACGCCATGATCTCCGAAATCGTGCTGTACTCCTGTGGGTTTGTCAACGTGAGTATGCTAATATTCCTCCTTATATGGAGGTTTAGTATCGGTGTTTGTGTTATTTTCACATGCTTAGCATATCTGGGGGACACTGACAGAAAGTTAGGTCAAAGGTCCCAGAATAGTCCCAGAAAAGGTTATCTCATTTCCTTCCTTTAAATGTATGTCTATTGCCTCATGGTAGCCAGTGGGAAAATACATAGATACGGTCAGGGAAAAATTCAGTCATAAATGAAACTAGGAATCCACAAAAATTTTTAAAAATATCAGTTGCTGTGTGATGATATTTAGTATGTGGGTATGTATTGTAATTCCACTTAAGCAACTTTTGTTGTTGTTTATTCATTTGGATTTCTTATTTTGTCTGCCTTTTCCGACACAGGCCCGCCCCCTGTCTGTGAAGATTGTAGCCACATACCGTCTGTGCTCTGAGCAGCTGTCATCCCAGCATCACTACGACTACGGCATGAGGGCTGTCAAGTCTGTGCTGACTGCTGCTGGCAACCTCAAGGTACAGTTCTAGGACCACCACTGTGATGGCTTTATTTTTTTGTGTTGGCCTATCCACCACGAATTTGTAACACTTCAAATGATTATACATTTCTAACATAATTTTCTGTCTGTAACCTGTTCAGGGAATATTTCAGCAAATTCATTGCTCTGTTTTTCTGTGTCTGTTCCACAGCTGAAGTACCCAGAGGAAAATGAAGACATCCTCATGTTGCGTTCCATCCTGGACGTCAACCTGCCCAAGTTCTTGGCCCACGATCTGCCACTCTTTGAGGTGAGCTTTGTACCAGTCGAAGACAACTTTGAATAGTCTTGGAATTGATAATTCAATCTTGGTATAGAAGTATTGTTTTGGGTGACTGTGTTATGGAGTTGGACAGAGAAGGTGCATGTGAGTGGGGGGGGGGGGCATTGACAGGCAGAATGACAGGAGGTCAAAAGGTCAAACACAGGAAATGGGGTGCACATGAAAGTCTCAGAATCTGGCTGGGATCCAGTCAGTAGTCGACATGGGGGAATTCAGGAAGCCAAGGGTTGCATACCTTCCAGTCTGAAAGATTTTGTGATTTTTAGAGTCAGCAGGATATACCTGTATAAAAGTCATGAAACTCTTACACCATTGTTTTTCAAGTACAATATCAAAGGAAACTCCAAGGATGCTAAGCTAGTTTATTGCCTCCTTAGGCTGACTGTTTCTGTGTGTGTTTGACAGGGCATCACGTCTGACCTGTTCCCTGGTGTGAAGCTGCCAGAGCCAGACTACGGTGCTCTGACTGAGGCCATCTCCAACCAGTGTAAGAAGATGAACCTGCAGATGGCAAGCTTCTTCCTGGACAAGATCCTACAGGTGGGTTGGGCAATAATGAGGATGGATGAATGAATAAATGAATGAAGGAAGGAATGAATGAAGGAATGATTGAAGTAGGTTTTTGTTACCTCCATGTATGGAGTTTTTTTTTTGGTGCATCTGTCTGGTGTTTGCTTCCTGTAGTTATTTCCACATGCTACACATGTTGAGGACACTAAGAGGAAGTTAGGTCTAAGGTCCCAGAAAAGGTTATCTAATTTCCTGTATTCAATTTCTGCTATATGAATGCCTGTTATCTTATGGGAGCCATGGGAAATACATAGAATCAAAATATTGGATCAAACAAAAAATTCACAAAAACTCAAATATTTCAGAGGTAGGAGATCTTTGATATCTTGTTATTTATAAACCTTATATTTTTGCACAGATCTATGAGATGATGATTGTGCGTCACGGCTTCATGATTGTTGGAGAGCCGTTTGGTGGGAAGACCAGCGCCTACCGTGTGCTGGCCGCTGCACTGTCAGAGCTGTGTGAAAAGGTAACTTAAATCTTATATGGTTCAATGATAACTTTAAAAGTAGTTATGAAATACAGATGAAGAAAAAAAGGACAAGCAAAATGTTAGATGGATTGATCTTGATCATAGATTGTGGACACTGGACAAAATTAAGATCTTGAAGAAGTACAGGAAAAATTCAAACTTCTAAATACCATTTACAGTTACTATACCTGACTTCCCTAACTTCTATAGTCTCTGTAACAATTCTATTTTCAATTTAATGAAATTCAATGAAGTTCTTTGAGGTTATGTTCTGATCAAATGGAGGGACAAGCTAGGAATTTGGACTTCAAAATATAGCAAGTATATCATAGCTATTCACTTTGTGTACATCAGCCATGTTACTAATATGTTACTGTATTTCATGACATTGTTTTGTTTCATGGCTAACTGTAGAGAGAAGAAATGGTAGATAAGGTAGTATAGTGTTTTATAGAGTAGCTTCACTCACATGTCACTTTTTCCCACGGCTGCACTTGACACACTTTCTTGGCACCATTTGTAGTAAGTCTGCACTCTTCACTGTAATGATAAAAGCACGTTTTTGTGGTAAGGTGCTTTCCATTGCAAAGAGGTAACGTTGTTGAACTTGGTGAGACAAGTAATAGATGCTATACAAAGTTGCACAAGCTACTGTAGCATGTAGTTAGTGGTATTTTTTACACCCAGGTCCCCCATTTCACAAGAGGCTCTGACTACTGAGCGACCAATTAGTTGACAGATATTTTGGCAAATTTGCATGGTTTTGCATGCTCCTATATAATGCATCATGCACAGTCCAGTTTTGGTGACTGTACGGTTGCTCAGTGATTGCTGTCTGGTGGAAAGGGGTTTCACAAATGCATGTCTTTAAACTTTGCCACTGCCACTATATCACTGTATCCCCCCCCCCCAAAAAAAACAAGACCACTGAGCAAAGCTTCTATGTTGCCAAATATACAAGTATGCATTTTCTTAGGTGCATTGTGACTGATACCTATACTCAGTGTCTAGTATATAACAAAATGTCATTAACCACAGTTTATGAGTTATGTGATTAACCATTGTTTACCGGTGTGCTCTGTAGAGTTGTGTGATTAACTCCCCACGTACTGGTGTCCCCCCATACACAGCCCAAAGAGGAGCACGGATCAGATGACCTCCCCTCGGCCGGTGACATGCTGGTACTAACACTGTGTAGTCTGCTAACAGTTAAACATCTGCACCACTTTTCACCTCTCTTGCACAATGGGATAGGCAGCACCAATTCAATTCACAGAATAGACTGATAGCACATGGGTGGTGAAGATTGACAGGCAAAACAACAGGTGTAAGAATCTGGTCAAGAGCCAATAGGAAATAAATGTAGACATGGGGGTCAATTCAGTAAGCCAAGGATTGTGTATTTCCCAAAAGTTTGAATTCTCTGATTTCTTTTTTTCTGATATAAAGAAAAAAATCAGATTTGACCATTCTGGGCAAGAATCAGCCTCAAAATGCTCACATCTTGCCAGACAGTTTCAAAATCTGATAACCAAGAAATTGAATTGGTGCAGCCTAAATTTAAATGTGTGTAAATCTTCCTCAGTCTGTTACCATTATTGTCATCTAACATGTATGTCTTGTCTTGTCTTGTCTTGTCTTGTCTTGTTTTTGTCTTTGCCCAAACCAAATGTCGATCCCAAGCATATTAATTGTCTTTTTCCTTGAATTTATCTCCTAACGTCATATGATATTAATGTAGCTTACTAATTACAGCTTACTTTTAAATATATTTCCCACACACACACACACACACATCAAACAATGCAGCTGAACACAAAACTTTAATCCTAATATTTCTTTGTCATAGAAATCCAAAAAGGAATTACTTAATGCATGTTCTTAATATGTTAATGCATGCTTGGACAATATTGCATGTTGGTTCCATGTTTGTAATATGTTAATGCATGCTCATACTGTGTTAACCTTCTCCCTGCTACCGAACACCGCGTCCCATAATCATTATAGAATTGGAAGCTAAATGGCTACATCAGTATGCTAAAGGTAAATTACATGGCATTGCATGTTAATGCATACCAGCACCCAACTAATGCATGTATGCCAGCACTCAACATTTAGTCCTGTGTTGTGACATATCTACAAAGTCTCAATTCTCTCTACAATATGCTCTCTCTGAATGACAGTTTTTGTCCAGAATCTTTCCTACATTTGTCTGTAAACTAGATTCAGCTTTGAAGTTGAAGATAAGTAGTTTTTAGATTCATCACTTATTTAGAATTTAGAAGACTCTTTGTCCAGAATCTTTCCTGCATTTGTCTGCAAACTAAATTCATCTTTTAAGTCCTTTGAAGATAAGTAGCTTTTAGATTCATCACTTATTTAGAATAGAAGACTCCTAAAGATGACTTGAAAAATCACATCCCTGTGCAAGACCATGATCCTCTCATTGCTAATTTATGCAAATGTATGCGTGGTTTCCAGGACAACAGTGATGAGTACATCCAGAAGGTTCAGATCACTGTGCTGAACCCTAAGGCCATCACCATGGGACAGCTGTACGGATCCTTCGACCCCGTGTCACACGAGTGGTCTGATGGAGTTCTGGCCGTCAGTTTCAGGGCATTCGCCTCTTCTCAGGTAAGCTCCCACGAACAGCCCTCGTAACTCGTGCTTCTCCTATTAGGTCACTCACCGTGAGTTGTCTAAGGTTCTCTCTTAGTTCTTTAAGAACTTAGGGAGAAGAGATGCTGTTTTGTACTTTGTACATGTCATATAATCTGGGACCTCTGGGCCATGTTACGATCATTATGGTGACTCTAAAAAGTGCCAATCATCAAATTAATCCTCTATTGAGGTGAAGCACGATGCTTTTTCAGGTTGCTAGTTGTATTGCAATCTAGCTTTGCCTAATTTGCTAGTTCTGCATGCTACAATATTGTACAAAGAAGATATAAAGATACAATCAGCAGTACTAAAACAACATACTTTTAGGTGAGTCACAGACTTTTAAACTATTCCTATATCAATTCAGTATTTCTTGATATGGGCTAATTACCTGATGCATACACTATGAAAATCTATCTAATATCAGTTAGTATACTAAGTAGAACTATATGATATAAAAAATCAGACAGTTGCACAAGTATGAAAGCTAAAGTTGTGATATTAATTGTTTTTACAGACCCCAGACAGAAAGTGGCTGATTTTTGATGGCCCTGTGGACGCCATCTGGATTGAGAACATGAACACAGTACTGGACGACAACAAGAAGCTCTGTCTGATGAGCGGTGAGATTATCCAGATGTCTGCTCCCATGAGCCTCATGTTCGAACCCATGGATCTGGAGGTGGCTTCCCCCGCAACGGTATGTATCAATTTTCACAATCTTTTAAATTTCATTTCATCATGTCTACTTCTACTGAACCCAACTGAAACTTACAGTAACTATTTTGAGGATATCCCATTCTTGTTGAACTTCATGCTACTGAATATGTTATACATTGAGAAGACTGTCCCTGTCCTTGGTGCTGAACCGAACTGTAACTTGACATGAACTAAATAATCTTACAGTAACTGTCAGTGTGTCTGCTAGAAGATCTGCCAATGTTGTATATGGTACTGAATATGCTGTTCCAGTCAGACAGTCCCTGTCGTTGGTGCTGAAACCAACTGAAGCCCAACACATACTAAGTCTTACAGTTGTATAGCATGTGCATGGTACTGAATATGTTGCTCATATTGCCCCTGTCCTTGGTGCTGAACAGTTTTACATATACTCAGATTCTAGTTAATTTTTTATAACATATCCAACCATACTAACAATATCCAAAGACAATTCAAATTCTACTACTGCTTGATTACTGAGATTACATGTATTTCTGGACATTTCAAGTGACATCCTTCACTCTTCTTCAGCATCACTAAAATGCCCCCCTCCCCCAGGTATCTCGCTGTGGTATGATCTACATGGAGCCCCACATGCTGGGCTGGCGGCCTGTCATGCTGTCCTGGCTGAACACTCTCCCCTCCACCATCACTGAGGCGCACAAAAAGATCATCACTGAACTGTTCGACCGCTTCTGTCCTCCCTGCATGCAGTTCATTCGCAAGGGTGGAGTCAAGGTCAGATTGTAATCTGTTTTGAAGTATTGAGTGCTAAGTTGCCTAGCAGTGGGTTTGGCTATAGGTTTGCATTATTAGATAGGTGGGGAGAAATTGACAGAATAATAGGAGGTCAAAAGGTCAGACACAGAAAGTGGGGTAGACTTGAAAGTAGGTTGACAAAATGTGCATGGGTCAGAATGCCCAGGCAGAAAGAAAGGGGCTAAAAGGTCAGATACAGGAAATGTGGTACTCATAACCTTGTAAACCCTTAAGTTTGCTAATGGATAATACAAGCGAACATTGAATTAGATACAAAAAGTCTCCTCAGCTTACCAGTTACATGTATTTATAAGATAGCTTTAAACCTGGATGGAAGTCAAAATGTGTCTGAAACTATCTCACACCCTGGATTTCCCCCTTTACAGGAGCTGAGTCCCACCAACGACACTAACCTGGCCAAGTCACTGATGAACTTGATGGACTCCCTCATGGATGAGTTCCAGGATGAGGCCAAGGTCAAGGCCATGGACGAGAGACAGATCTGCTCCTGGCTGGAGGTAATGTATCTTCAACTCTTTTCAGAGGAAACAAAAGGGAACTGTCCCTGAGGCATGGCCAAAAATATTCTGAAAAAGGCGCTTTTCCTGAGGTATGACCAAAAACATTCTGAAAAGGCACTGTTCCTAAAGCATGGCCAAAAATTGTTCTAAAACTTAAAAAAGGGCACTGTTCCTGATTCATAGGCAAAGATATTCTAAAAAGGCACTGTCCCAACTCAACACTACATACAGTTGATATCAATGATACATTGAAACTGAATGGAGAGTTTGGAACCAAAATGGCACTCACAGCCATGATTGTTAAAAACTATTGATGAACACATTCAAAACTGTCCTATGATTGGGGAAAGTAGACCGAAATTCTATGAAGAAATCTAAAACTTTTTTTGTGTTTAAAACAGAGTTTTTATTGTTTGAACTTTTTGTGTTTTTAGTGCATCTTCTTCTTCTCTGCTGTCTGGTCCCTGGGGGCCAGCGTGGACCTGAACGGTCGCCTAAAGTTCAACGAACTCTTCCGAGAAATCATGGAGGTAAAACAGAACTTCCTTCCCCTCTTTTCTTTCTTAATGCTGTCAAATGAATATTATTTATCTTCGATTATGGGGTTACTTTGTTGTATTGTATAGTCAATAGCTTGTCTAAGTTATGTGTCACAGTTTGAAATTTAGAAACAGTTTACATTATTGATCTAACAATTTTTCATGAAATGGAAAAAGATTTCCAAATTAAGGATCATAGGAAAAGTCATGTCGAAGCTCACTAACTATTTTAAGATTTCATTTCGTTCATTTTCTAATTAAAATCTCAACAATGTCTAACTTTACATATGCCATAATGCTTGTTACTTTAAAATCCTTCAAAATCCTGTTGCAATATACATTTCTATTAAAGATCCCTTTGCTTTCTCTCAAAATTGTACCCTCTGAAAAATTGTACCTCCTCTCTTTAGATAATGTATTTATTATGCAATTTATCAGTCTTCCTATAGCTTTCTTCTATGTTCATCTTAGTTACTTGTGCACCCAGACTACTGTATATATAGGCCAGCAATTATGTACTTTGATTGAATGCGATCATTTCATACATCATCTATTGCTTTGTTCCCTCTTCAATCTTGCACCTCAGAATGGTTTCAGTGATAAAGTTGCCAGAATGATAGATGTGAATCAGGTAACTGTGCACAGAGCACACCTATACCATCACCATGGGAGTAAGGAGAAACATTTTTAACCCTCAGCATGCCAAATTCTTTTACTGGTGTAAAAACTAAAATTATTAAATTTGCTGTTAACCCTCAAGCTGTTGTATTGAGCTCTTTTATCCAACATTTTGATGATATACAAGAGAACTTAGCAGCTGGAGGGTTAAACAGTCATTTCAAAAATTAGCATGCTGAAGGTTAAAAATGATCAGCACCCTAAGGTTATATAATTGTATAAGTCAAGGCAACAACAAGAGCACTTTTGGTGATAAGGTAATATGACTGATGATAATCATAAACATCAAGTTAAACATAAAAGGTATACAATTATTATACTATATAATTTGTAAAAGTGCACAAAGGGGAAGGATAAGGATAATCTATAATAAGGCCACTCCAATTTTATTTTTTGGTTTTGGATTTTCAACCTCCAGGTAATGAAGTCATGTGTACGTTTGTGTGTTAATGTGTGAACCAAGAAATCAAATTGGTGTGGCCCAATAATTATATCTGTGGTGACGCTATAATTTGAAGGTCTTATTTGAATAGTTTAAGGTGTCAAAGGAGCTAAGTTACAATTGATGATAATAATTGTATATTCTACAATGTTTTTGTCAATTTGATGTACTGTGTTCCACTGTACTTACTTTGTTTTTTGTTTTGTTTTTCTCTGTATTTCCCTGCTTGCTTTATGCATATTTCTTAATATCCTTCCATGCTTTGAACATTTCAAATGATCACTATGTTTCATGTGTTCCTATCCTACCATTTGCATCACATCTGCACCATAAATAATCAATGCACAATCCCATACTTTCTGCATGCCAACCCCTTGCCAATGCACCATGATTCTCCCCTCAACGCATCTTGCCATGCACCCCCCTTGCACAATGTACTACCCCACCCCTCCACTGCATTTGGGGTAAAACTGTAGAACGGAGTTTCGGAGGAAGCGCGCGTGAAGTTCCACTTGTACGACACTGTGGACCCGCCCACCCGTCCATACACGGTGCCTTTCCCCAACGAAGGTCTTGTGTATGACTATAGACTCATCAAGGAGGTAATTAGTTAAGACGCTATCTCTACATTGAGACCACCAAGAAAGTTTGGAAGCATTTCAGAAATGCATATTAGGCACTGTCCCTGAGGCATTGCCAAAAAAAGCTTGAAGTTCTATTCTCTGATCATTTGCTTTACATTTTTGGTTAGTTTCCACAAGGATTTTCCTGGGCCCCATTGAAAATCATTTTTTTTTCAGAATTGAATATGGGCACCCAGTTGTCTGAAAATATGATGTCAAATAAAAAATCAAATAATGTCAAATGATGTCAAATAAAATCTTAGAATGTTAGATGCATTTTACCCCTCTGTATGTATTTCTTTGAATGCTTCACAAACTTGCAAGGTGGTCTACTCACACATATACTATTAAAATGACTATTAGAATTTCTTTGTGATTTTGACACTTTCCAGGGGACCATCTCAGAAGGCTTGGCTAAAGCTTACGACATCACCAACCAAATAAACCCCAAGCCTTTAGAAAAACCCTGGATAACCCCCATGCCCACTGATGACATGGTGTATGGTTTAAGTTTATACAGGAGTAGGGCTAGGTACCGGATAACACAGGTTTGCAGTTTTAGAACAGGGTTTTCTGAGTTTATGTACAAGAAAATCATAACATGTTCTTGGTTTGCACGTTCAATGTTAACCATTGTTTCTACAAGTTGAAGACATGATATACATGTAGTTGTAACAGTTACTGTAAAAAGAAGTTCAATATTCGTTTCTTGCTGCAGTTGCAATTTGCTAACACCCTAACTTGCTCTTGCATTGCTTGCAGAAAGCTGTTTTGCAATATAATCATTCGTTATGAAGTTGCACTAACTGAAGATCAGATGGCATTAGCTTTGTTCAACTATTGTTTACATTTATGTAAAGCTACCAGTTTGATTTTGCTAACCAGTAAAGTATGCTCTAACAGTCTAACTTGAATGTTTTTTGTTGATTGCCTTTTTTTGCACTAACGCAGACTATAATATAATATGTGTTGCTAGCTATATTGTGCCACAGTGCTTTTAACTAACATATTGCTTTGCATTGCTGTTTAAAACTAGTTGAATGCAATTTCCATGCTTTTGCAGCCTTTACAAAAATGTCTCTGCTGCTTCAAGTGCTATGTTCTTGCAACAGCCAATCAGCAATAAGAACCACTTCCTACAAATTGGCCAATCAGGCCATTGCATATAGAAATGCTACATGCTCATTGGCTCTTTCTCTCCATACCAAATATAGTCACACACACTGTTTACAGTTCATTTTCATTGATTCTTGTTTTGACTACATGTGATTGGGTGTTTCAAAAAGTAAATTGCAAAATCCATTTCCCCTTTAGGTTGTAAGTAATTTTAGGTTCAGCAATTAAGATCATTATCTGAACCCTCAGGACCTTGGTCGCTGGGAACGCTGGGTGGAGACCATCCGCGATGCTCCGCCCATCCCGAAGGACGAGGTCTTCAACTCCATCATCGTCCCCACCATTGACACCGTGCGTTATACTGCTCTTGTGGAGATGCTGGTCACACACCAGAAACCCATGCTGTTTGTCGGCCCCACCGGCACAGGCAAATCTGTCTATCTGACTGTAAGTCTGTAGTCAGTAACTGCCTTTGTATATACATGTACATAGGCAGTTACTGAATTATGTAATGTCTGCAAGTGAGAGAGAGAAACGTTGTGTGTGAGGGAGAGAAAGGGAGATAGAGAAGGAGACAGGGAGAAAGAGAGACAAAGACAAGGAGACAGAAAGACAGAAATTTAGACAAAAAGACGACAGAGACAGAAAGACTGACAGTAAGAGACAGAAAAAGAGAAAGACAACAAGAGAGAAAGACAGAGAAAGTGTGTGTGTGTGTGTGTTTGCTATGTACATGTATTGGTGCTTTGATACTAACACTTTGTTGTCTGTGAGTGACTAACTTTATCATTGTGTGTACTGCATGTGTAGACTTCCCTTCAACCAATCTTCAACCATCTTTCACCTTGTGCATGTACACTTCAGATTATAACCCAGCTTATAGCATTCAACATCTTCCTATTAGAATGGCATTGTGATAACCAAAAGAGTTAAATTAATCAAGCATGAGCTTGTAGCATAAGATCATCCCTTGCTACATGTACTAGACTTAGTTTCAAATAGACGGACTCTGAGTTCGTTCAGAAAGAATTAGAAGTTTTGCAGTCACAAGTCTTTAAGATATAGCTTTAGTTCCTAGTTGCATTATTTCCCCCCCCCCTTAGCTATAGGTAGTAGATGTTAAAATGTCCTTTCTAGTTCTCTGTATTGTGAGTTGTCCAAGTCACTGTGTATGTCAGTCAGTGAGCAATTTAAGTCGAGTGTAGAAATTCTGGCCTCCCCATAAGAGCAAAATAACTCTAGGAAGTCAAATTATCTCTTGAAAACCTGAGGTAAGTGTGTGAGGTAAGTCAGGGTTAAGTTCAGGCAGGCTAGTTATGGAAGGTTTGCCATCACAGAAGATTTTCAGTGATCCAGGAATAGTTCCATTGCTTAGTCTTGTGAGATGGCAAACTTATGATGACTCTAACCTTCGTGGACCCCCTTTTAGTACTTTATTGATGTTCAGTTGTACAGTACAGTCTATTTTCAGTTCAGTTCAGTTCAATTTTGATTTTATTGTTAGATCAAACAGGCATAAGTACAATACATGTATGGTTCTGAATTGTTTTAAATTTAACAAAGATTATTACAAAAACACTGTATACACGTAACTACATTCAGTACATCTAATTCAATAGCTACATGCATGAAGTTTAGGTTGCAGAATTAGGGTTGAGTATCATGACATATAGTCAGTCTGAGGTTTCCATCCATTCTATTCTGTTTGACTTGAAATAACTTGGTTTGCAGTGTATTAATCCTTCTTACAACATGTATTTTATAACCTTTTGGTCAGAATCTGATGTTTGATAGACTAAGTGTGAAACTGTACACTTTACATGATAATCATTGTGTGACACATTTGAAGTGGACATGGTGTAAAGCATGGCATGGACAAGAACATTGCTATTTACTGTACATTTCTACAATGAAGCTTCATTATTCTACATCGTGCTACATGTACCTGACACACCAGCTAACCCTCTCCTGTAGGACTTCCTGTTGAAGTTGAACCCTGACTCCTACAAGACCCTGATCCAGAACTTCTCAGCCCAGACCAGCGCAAACCAGACTCAGGACATCATCATGTCCAAACTGGACAAGCGCAGGAAGGGAGTCTTCGGACCCCCTCTGGGGAAGAAAATGGTACAGTCTGACTTTCCTCATTAGGGATAGGATAAGGTGTAGGCTTAAAGCCTATCAAAACAGTGTTTTTACACTCTTAATTATTATGATGAGAGTAAAAGATATCCTAAGAAAAAAGTTGTTAGTTGTTTTGTCCTTGGTGCTGAAATGCAGGATGTACATCGGCCAAACTGCTAATTGCCATTCTCTCATTGGTTGTACTGCTAATTGTGATTGACAGGATCAGTGTATCACTAACTGGGACATGGAGTCTAGTAAAACTGACCTTGAATAAGACTTTTCTGTATCCAACATACATGAATCCCTCTCATTGGTTGAACTGCTAATTGCCATTCTCTCATTGGTCAGTCAGACTCAGTTATCCCTAAATGAGACAGTGACCTTGATAAGACTGTTCCTTCCAACTTTGCCACCACTAGATCATTTTTGTTGACGATACCAACATGCCGGCCCGTGAGTTCTACGGTGCCCAGCCACCCATCGAGCTGCTGCGACAGTGGCTGGACCACTGGAACTGGTACGACCTGAAGGACTGTTCCATGCTCAAACTGATTGACATCCAGCTGCTCTGTGGCATGGGACCACCAGGTGAGCACTTTGTGTACTAGGCTTTGTGAAGGGTAGGCGGAAAAAATAGTCCAGTCCATGCAGCAGAAAGCATGGTCCACCACAGAGGGGGAAAATCAGTCCTACCTTTTCTGTGTATAGTCATGCCCTCTGGTAGAAAGCTATAAAATTGCAACAGTTTGGTACCCATTGATGTTTTTCCCCATCATTTTTTTAAAGATGGCTAGTGTAGAACTTCATCATATCATTTAAACAAAGATCCACTGTTTTCATAATTATAAATGTTGAAGAAAATATAGTTACAGAGCAAGGATTCAGCAGTACTAAAAGAAGTAAAGAAGAAAAAGGACCTAATTGAATCACAATTGTTCTCGAGCATAAAATGTGTGATATCGAAAATATTCAACCTTTGACCAGGTGGTGGGCGTAACCCGTTGACACCTCGCTTCCTGCGCCACTTCAACACCATCACGATCAACGAGTTTGACGATGAGACCATGTCTACCATCTTCTCACGTATCGTGGACTGGCACTTCAACATCAGGTATAGGGACAAACAGGGCACAGTGGAGGGTTTTGTTACAGTTAAAAATAACTGGAAATCTTGAAACATTTGCAGTTTTATTTTTACGGCTTTTGCTGTGACCTTTCCACAAAGAAATGACATGACACCATGGATATGGGTTTCTGATAAAAAAACCTCTTTTCCCTTTGGTATAAAATCCTACAAAAATAACTGAATTTACAGTAGGTGTGAAAATTAAGGAAGGAAGAAAGAAGGAAAAATCAACAAATGATTCTTAGTTCATTGCTAAATCTGTGAAGTTTCATAGAGTTATTGGTATAGAATGACAACAACTGCAATTCATGAGACTTGAAGGGTAGAATTTACATTTTTTCAATCATTATCTTTTCTATGCTTTCCACAGGAACAGCTTTGGGAAGGAGTACTCCCCACTGACTGAACAGCTTGTGAAGAGTACCGTGGAGGTGTACAAGAACGCCATGAACAACCTCCTGCCCACACCAGCCAAGTCACACTACCTCTTCAACCTGCGGGACTTCTCCCGTGTGGTGCAGGGTGTCCTCCTGTCGCGCGTGGACTCCACCGAGAGCCCTCAGGGGATCAAGAAGCTGTGGGTGCATGAGGTGAATTCTGAACCGCCGGGTTGGAATTTAAACCATGCTCAGCACTGTGATTCTTGGTTTTCTTTCGGCCACCTTGCTTACAACTTACAGTACAGATCTCCAATGACTTTCCATGCAAATTAGGCTTAAAAGTTGTGCAAAAAGGGATTGAAAGTCGTGCATTTCTCAATCAAAATGCATATACAAGCCATGCACGTCTTGTTTTGATATCTCATACAAAACCTGTGTAGATGTTCATGTAATTATGTGTGGTTATGCATTTTATATAGCCACACACAATTGCAGTTAATTAGGGCCCACATTTTACACGGCTTTTGCATGAGAATTAACCACATGCTACATGGCTTTCAATCACGATTTTCACAACTTTTGCACAAGAAATAAACAGAACCATGTGTAAAATGCATGGGAAGGGACATTACTTGAGATCTGTACTGTATATCAGATTCTCCTAACAAATAGTGACCTGACTCTTAACCCTCTCACTGCTGTGTTCTGCTGTAGCCAAATGCAAGTTTGGTGAGCTGTTTAAGCTTGCAGCAGGGTGGGGGTTAAGGAGGGGCATTGTTTGTTAGGTGATCTGGCACGCGAGCTCATTTTCAGCACGCTTCAGAACAGCTGATGTAGTTGGTTGACCTTGTCCCCAATATGTTGACCTTGGATTAGAGGTCATTTGGTTGAAGGAAGAGGACACTGAAAGCCTCAGTGTTCTCTTTCTTTTAAACATTAAGAATTCTCATGGCATCTTTCTGGCAGTCATGATTGGACAGCAATTTGTGACAGTTGACAATTTGAAATTTTAAACTGTAGGTAAAATGGAAATGCCTCCTATCACTGTTGTATCATGGTCAGCCACATTTGCAGCATTAACATGCTTGCCTTTCAGCCACACATGAACTTGCTGCGACCGCAATTGCGCCTTTCAAGCTCTGCGCATGCATATGCCATTGCTGGTATACATAGTAAATTTAATCATGAGTTCCATTCGAAAATGCTCTGCAACATAACTGTACTATATGCAGCACCATTGGCACTAAAAAGAAAATTGGACTCACTCAGTCTTTTTCAGCTATCTGACCCTAAATTAAAAGCAGTTTCAGGAAATGAACTGGGCCTACCAATAACCTACCACATAAACTTCATCGTGAATGACTATTCCCGGTGTGAACAGGTCATGCGTGTGTACTACGACCGTCTGGTGGACGACCAGGACAGGGACTGGCTGTTTAAGTACCTGCGGGAGGTGGTGAAGAGCGAGATGAAGGAGGACTTTGACACGCTGATGCAGCGCTTTGACTCCAACAACGACGGGAAAGTGGAGGAAGACGATATCCGCGCCCTGCTGTTCTGTGACTTTGTCGACCCCAAGAACGACAAGAAGGATTATGTAGAGGTGAGCATCCTCTGTAGAATGTTAGATCTGGGTTTTCAGGTATAAGGTACTGGATTTTGTGCTACATTGTACATGTAGTAGAAACTTTTCGATCTTAGAATATTGATCCTGTGAACACTGAATGCTGTGGGCATTACTTTAATTCTATTTAAGAACTATTTTCTCAGGTCCACCACAGAAGCAAGACTGTCACTGACAATGTTATGTTGGATCACAAGGAATAATCTAAAGGTTCTGGTCTTGAATCCCTAGCATGTTGTATCCTTTTGGAGAGAAGAAAGCTCTGGATTATCTGATACACATACATGTACATGTGGACTATCCAGAACTGTGCCTGAACACAGTTCTGGATAGAGCATGGTTTTGGATACAACAAGACTTTGGACTCCCTGACAAATGTAGACTAAGTAGTATCCAGTCTTTGATTATTATACTGTTGCGGGGGTCCCCAACACAGAGGTGGTCTTCACACCATGTTTCCATGTGACTTTGTCCAGTGGGTCCACACAGACAAGGCTGCATTCTCATTAACTTTCCCCATAACTCCTGTGACAGGTGATGGACCTAGGAAAGCTGACCACGGTGGTTGAAGGTCACCTTGACGAGTTCAACAACCTGAGTAAGAAGCCGATGAACCTGGTGCTGTTCCAGTTTGCCATCGAGCACGTGTCGCGTATCTCCCGTATCATCAGCATCCCACGCAGCCACGCCTTGCTGGTGGGACTGGGGGGCAGCGGTCGGCAGTCTCTCACCAGACTCGCCGCACACATGGCTGACATGGAGGTGTTCCAGGTAAGGGGCAACTTACTGGTCTTTCTGCCCAAAAAAATATTTTGCAAGTGGGTCTCCTTTCTAGTATCTAATGTACTATTTTTTACTGGAAAAAGCTGCCATAATATGCCAAAAAACTCAAGCAACAGGATATGATTTTGGAAACAGACATTTCAGGTTGCATCCACTACCTTTCGTCAGTGACACTGTAGAGTTGTCAGAAAGGCAGGTTTATAAGCACAAACTATATTGAATGATATGCAAATAAGTGAACAATACAATTTTTTTCTTCTTCACTAAATTTAATCAAATTAGTGTGACCCTGCATAGAGAAAAGTTGCATAGCATCTATCCTCAGGCTGCTTAGTATGATTGGTAATTGTTATAAGCTAAACTGTGATTCCTGTGTGATCTGCTAGGTGGAGATCAGTAAGAGCTACACCAGTGTGGAGTGGAGGGAGGATCTGAAGACCATCCTGAGGAAGTCCACAGCCACGGAACAACATGGAGTCTTCCTTTTCACTGACACACAGGTCAGGAAAACATTTTTGGCAACACCACTGGGGCAGAGCCTTTGTTTTGTTTCCTTTATTACCTTCGCCAAGAAGGTTATGTTTTCAGGGGCGTTCGTGTATGTGTGTGTGTGTGTGTGTGTGTGTGTGTGTGTCTGTCTGTCTGTCTGTCAACACGATAACTTGAGAAGGCCTTGATGGATTGTCTTGATACTTGGTAGATGGGTAGGTCTTGATGAGACCTCAAAATGATTAGATTTTGGACCCCCTAGCGGCTTGTTATGGTACTGCAGCAGAACTTCCGGTTTTGATATCTCAAGATCCAGACATGCTATGGTGATGAAATTTGGATGGTAGGTAGCTCTTGTGCTGGGGAAGAAGTGATGTGAGTTTAGGCCCCCTAGCAGCTTGCTCTAGAACTGCAGGGGGGTTTAAAGGACAAATGTTTAAAAGAGGATAACTCAAGAACCGATTGATGGATCATCGTGATTTTTGGTATGTAGGTAGCTTAAGTGATGCTTGACATAATGATATTACAATTATGCGAATATTGATGTAATTTGCATAATTAATGAGGAAATTCTAAAAATCAGCTGCATTCCATGATAGGAAGTTCAAGCTTGTAACATATGTTATTTAGAACGAGAGAAACACAGGCAAATATTGATTATGCAAATGAAGACTTAATTTGCATAATTGATGAGAAAATGTTATAATTGCGTAGTGGTAACTGCCTGGAATTTCATACTTGGTGTGTTTGAAAGTTAAGTGAAGGTGAACATAATTAAACATAACTTATTCAAATAAGGACCACATTTGCATAATTTATGAGAAAATGGCATTCTTTGTTAAGATAAGACTGTCTTTTGGTGGAGAATATGATCAACAGACTGATATAATTCATGCAATTGAGGATCCTACTTGCATAATCAGGGTGATTAGTATATTTCTTATTCATAAAGGCTAACATAATTTGGCGAAGGTATGAGATCGTGGAACTCTAGTTAATTTTTACTTTTAGGTACAGATTGTTATGGCCTGTGGGCTTGTGTTGATTGACAACACATGGGTGGGGATAAGAAGAATGACAGGCAGTCAGGTCATCCACAGGAAGTAGGTTGACAGCATGTTGGTCAGGGAAGATTGACAGGCAGAATGACAGGAGGTCAAAAGGTTAGACAGACCCAAGAAAAAAGGTTAACTTGAATCAGATCCTGATTGTAGTTTCTTTTAATAGAGAATTCTCTGCCGGATTTTGCCAGATCAAAGTCTCTGCTCTGCATAGACATATATATTGAGATATTGATTGTACAATGTGTTAATGTTGCTTTCTCGCATCTGTTTTTTGCTGCCTTGAACAGATCAAAGAAGAATCGTTCCTGGAAGACGTGAACGGTCTCCTGAACGCGGGTGAGGTACCCAACCTGTTCGCCCTGGATGAGAAGAACGAGATCTGTGAGAAGATGAGAACCCTGGACAGACAGCGGGAGAAGTCCAAACAGACAGACGGCACGCCGCAGGCTCTGTTTAACTACTTCATCGAGCGCTGCCGGGACCAGCTGCACATCGTGCTGGCCATGAGTCCCATCGGAGACGCCTTCCGCAACCGTCTGAGGAAGTTCCCGTCACTGGTCAACTGCTGTACCATTGATTGGTTCCAGGTCAGTAAAGAGTAGCCAACTCCAAGCTTAGAAAGCCAGTGACACTGTGATAGTAGTTATACTAGTACTGTACAATTTTTGGCAAAGGCTCCTGCAAAGATTTGCTTTGTTGTTTCCATTTTTGGCAATGGCTCATACACTTTTTATCCCTGAAGTTTTCTTTCTCTATCAGATTTGCCAATAAATCCTTGAATTATGCATGAAATTTGTGTAAAAAGATGGAAAAGCCAGCTAGAGATGTGTCAAACACACTTTTCAAAGTGGCAGATGTGCTTCACCAAATTGATTGATTCACTCCTGCCATCAACACGCTTCCAGAATCAGCCATCAGTTAAAGGTCAACAAGGTTGACTGATAATTAATGGTGTTGCTGTTGTGTTGGAACAAAGCTATAGATCTGTTGTTGTCCTTGTGACCTACAGGAATGGCCTGAAGACGCCCTGGAAGCTGTGGCCACCCGTTTCCTGGAGGATGTGGAGATCGACCAGCAGACTCGCCTGGCCTGCATCACACAGTGTAAGAAGTTCCACACGGGAACACGCGTCCTGTCCACACGCTTCCTCAACACCCTGGGCCGGCACAACTACACCACTCCTACATCCTACCTGGAACTCATCACAACATTCAAGACTCTACTGGACAAACGCAGAACGTAAGTGCTGTAAAATTTGTACTGGTTATATTTTGCAGGCCTGAAGAAGAGAAAGGAGGTTTTGCACTTTGGAAAAATTGATGTATTTTGAATTGTGCAGTGCAATAATAATACACTGGAAAAATTTCAATGTTATGAATTCATCATAGAGACTGGTCATTCCAAAACACACAGAAATAAAGTCACTGCAAAAGTTTACCATATCTTTGCCAAGCCGTCTTGGCCCGATCATTAAAGGAAGATGCCTCCCATTTTGAATAATATCTACATGTATAGTAACAGGCTGAATGTGAATTAAATTCACAGCCAAGATCTAGTACGTGATTCATTTTTCATGTCAAATGCTTCTCAGATGTTTGTGTCAATTGCGTTTGGTTATGTGTTTAACTCAAAGATAGCGTCACACAATTGTAGCTAAAGAGTGCACTCCATTTGCACAACTTTTGCACAAGAAATATGCAAGTTACAACTGCATGTGAAACGCATGGGAATGGATTCCAATGTTGACTGAACACAGATTGTTTTCAAGACAAAGAAACAAACAACATAACAACTTTTCTTTCCACTAATCTCCCCCCAGTGAGGTGATGAAGATGAAGCGTCGTTATGAAGTCGGGCTGGAGAAGCTGAAGTCTGCTGCAGACCAGGTGGGCGTGATGCAGCAGGAACTGCAGGCTCTGCAGCCACAGCTCATCGTCGCCAGTAAGGAGGTCGACGAGATGATGGTCATCATCGAACGGGACTCCATCGAGGTCGCCAAGAAGGAGAAGGTACGAGTTCACTTCTAATACTGACATCTACCAGCAAAAAGCTTCATCAAGTAACATAGATTGAAGTGGTACAAAAAGTCAATTTTGGGGGGGCATTTCTTTACATGTTTTCTGTTTAAAGTATAAGATGATTATTACTGATAGCACCAGGGTAATTCCTTTGGTCTTCTTGGGAAAAATAATGCACATTAGATATGGCATCATGTCCTATATGAATTAGCATGCAAATTAGGCTAATGATAGGCTTGAAATCTAATCTAAAAAAACTAATTTTTAAGGGTACAACTGTGATGCAAACATAATTTGAGCTGCAGCTCATATCCTATCCTTGGTGCTGAAATGGTCATTATTGTTGTGTTGTCATCCAATGGACTTAAAATGCCTCCACTCCTGAGGTGTTGAAAAAAAGCTACAATATGTAACCTTAGTACGGTACAAAAACAACTTTCTGGTTATTTCTTTACAAATGAAGTTGGATCAACTAAGCAAATAGGAGTGGAGGTGCCAAAATACAATGCCTTACAAGTGTTTTTGAAAGCTGGAAACACAGCTGTCAGACATATTCTTACACTGTGGTAGTTTGTGGTGGTGCCACAAATCTGAGTTTGCCTAATGTGGGTTGTTTTACAACCAACCATAAATGTAAAAAATTTTATCATGTCACAATGATGATGATGATGATGATCTTTTTCAGGTGGTGAAAGCTGACGAGGCAGTAGCCAATCAGCAGGCAGCAGCAGCCAAGGCCATTAAGGACGAGTGTGATGCTGACCTGGCCGAGGCCATCCCCATCCTGGAGTCTGCTCTGGCTGCTCTCAACACTCTCACACCTGCTGTAAGTAGAGTTCAACCATGTCATACCTCCACAAGGCACGATGAGCAGGGTTTCACATGCTGATTTCTTCATACCTGCACTGGTGCATGTAACATTGAAAATTACCTGCGCAAAACAAATTTTACCTGCATCACTCAGAATTTAGGAAGTATGGATGATATTTGAAAATTATGAAATAAATAAAAATTCTTTATACTCCAGAGGCATTGGTAACATGAACTGTTCATCTGCCTTGTGGTGCATTAGAATATATGTCGAAGTTGAAGACCCCTGAGACATAAACAAAACATGTCTGGACATGGTAACAATTGAGCATAGTCTAAACAAGATCAAGGCCTTCAACACATGCTTGATTACAATCCTGAACTGGGCTATATCAAGCTTAAGAAATGTGAACTAAATCGTCTGTTTTCGAGGTACAATTTAGCTTTGATAATTGCTGTATTGTGGCAGTGGCATTCAAATTTTGATCTCCTATCCCCCCTAGGACATCACAGTGGTGAAGTCCATGAAGAGCCCCCCTGCCGGTGTGAAACTGGTGATGGAGGCTGTGTGTGTGCTGAAGGGGGTCAAACCTGACAGGATTCCTGACCCCTCAGGATCAGGTATGGGGACATCTGCAACTAACTTTCATCTGAAATTGAAAACAAACATTCACCCCAGATTGTAGTAACAGTGACTGTACTTTGTTGGTTTCTTAATCAGGATAGTATGTATCATTATCAGTTAGTGTTTTTCTTTCAGAAAAGATAATGTGCTAATTGGTCAAGATGCATGAAGTTTCAAGTTAGAATAGTTAGAATATACTGTGTCTCATTGGAAGTATATGTTGAACTAGCAGGGATAGATTGAATATGAATTGTTGCAGACAATCATTGTGTGTTTTACCTGTCAGTGAGCTCATCATTTCTAATAATGTTTACTGAATGATTACAATCATGCATGAAGGAAAAAACAAGAAGAAAGGTAACCTTGGTGAGCACAGGGTGACCAGTAGTTTTAGCACATGAGAATCACATTTACTAGATGAGTTGTCTCCTTTTGGTGTTCTAGTTACCTCCCATCCTTGTAGCTCCTGTAGTGATTTAGTGATTAACCCTTTAGCAAATCCTAGTAATGTGATTTTTTTTTTAAACTAAATAGTTTGAATTACTAGGCTAAGAGTATTATATAACTTACAGAAAAAAAGAAATTATCTCACATTGTGTACTTTGACTTAAATTGCATCATGCATCTCTTACACTACAAAATGTACTTGTAAGTCAGACTCTCTATAATTAACACTTACTCAAATTGAATGACTATTGTGTTTTCTTCCTATAGGTAAGAAGATTGAGGATTTCTGGGGCCCGTCCAAACGTGTCCTTGGTGACATGAAGTTCTTACAGGGTCTCATGGACTATGACAAGGTAACAGCAACATTTTAAGATCATACTAAACTTAGAGTCATTGCAAGATGTGTCTGAATCTTCACTCTTGTTCTTAGACTGTTTCATAGTTACCTTTGCCATTTGTAAGTCTCAAACTCATTTCTTATTTGAATTCTATCTTTTCAGGACAACATTCCACCAGCCATCATGAAAATCATCCGTACCAAGTACATCACCAACCCTGAGTTTGACCCTGACAAGATCAAGGTCGCCTCCACTGCTGCTGAGGGTCTGTGCAAGTGGGCACGTGCCATGGAGTCTTACGACAAGTAAGATATCTTCAGAAGATTCTTCAAATCATGGCTGTCAATCAACTGTCTAAATCACCTCCCACACACCTTACAATGGTGCCTACATGTATTTGGACATTTTATATGCATATTACAAACCCATAAACTCAGCCACGAAAACAATACTTCTGTACACCCATGTTGTAATTGTGGAAAGAAGAAGAATACTGTACAGTAATTGTTAGCTAATAGTTTCGTTGTTCTCCTCCTTCCAGAGTGGCAAAGGTTGTGGCCCCCAAGAAAATCAAACTGAAGGAGGCGGAGGCAGAACTGGCAGTCGCCATGGGAGAACTCAACCAGAAGAGAGCCGCTCTGAAGGAAGTTCAGGTACGTCTCAGTTTTCTCAGTTCTCACATAGCTTCACACAATGCTTCAAGTCTGAAATGATGAAGAAAATGTGCTAAGAAATGGCAGTAAATGTCAATATCAAACAGATTTCCTCATCCAGAATATTTTCTTGTTTTGCCACTCTGATATTGCATTGGATGCCTTTAGTATTGAAAAAGCATTCAAAAACACAAGAATGCAGTGAAAAACATTGAAATGTTTTTTTTTTTTCTACAGGACAAACTAGCCCGTCTGCAGGAGAAGCTGGAGGCTAACAAGGCTAAGAAGGCCGACCTGGAGAACCAGGTGGATATGTGTACCAAGAAACTGGAGAGAGCTGAGCAGCTGATTGGTGGACTGGGTGGAGAGAAGGACAGGTCAGATATTTAACCTTTAGTGCACTGAGGTAGCCATATAGCTACAGGGGTAGGCAGTAGAGAAAAGGTTAAATTTGATGTGTGTTTGTGTGTACACTGTGTAAAGTGTAAATGTACCAGTGTCTTTTAATTTTTCTGTGCTGTTTGATCTAGTCAGTATGTTCAGTTACAGTCTGTTTTACTCATTAACATACATTTTGTAGAGGTAGTTTTGTATGAAGGACAGTCAGAATTGGTGTACACCAAAGAATGTGAACATTTCTCCTACACAAACACTCGTTGCTATCTTAAAGGCTTGCCAATGATTGTTACCTATTCTGTCTATCCCAGGTGGACCCAGATGGCTAAGGAGCTGGGAGAACAGTACACTAACCTGACAGGTGACGTGCTGGTGTCATCAGGTGTGGTGGCTTACCTGGGCGCATTCACCTCCATATTCAGACAGGTGAGGAAAATTATAAAACTCTTAGATTACTTTAAAAAATCTTGAGATTCTTTCAATCAATCTTGACGTTGTTTGTAAAAAATCTTGAGTTTATTACAAAGAACCTGGAGTTTGTTTCAAAGAATCTTGAGATTTTTCTATGATTCAAAAAAAATCTTGAGATTGTTGTGATTCTTTTAAAGAATCTTGAGGTTGTTTCAAAGAATCTTGAGATTGTTTTAAAGAATCTTGAGATCCTCCAGAAAATATGGAGATTTTTTTTGATTTTCATGTGTAACAACTTATGATGCATACATTGACAGTAGTTTTTCATATAATATCTGCTATGTATTACTAAGTATAAGCTGCACACAGTTTGAAGCCTTTGTCTTTAATCCGGACATTGTTAAATGTGTGCCTGACACTTTATTTGAATGTCCCACCACCCTACAGGACCAGGCCACAGAGTGGTACCATGAGTGTAAGGAGCTGGGCATCCCAGCGTCCGCAGACTTCTCCCTGAGCGCGACCTTGGGTGACCCTGTGAAGATCCGTGCCTGGAACATTGCAGGTCTGCCCACAGACACATTCTCCATAGACAACGGTATCATCATCAGGTATGTGTGTGCAGAAGGGTGGGGAGGGGGGCAGTTAATGGTCTTTGTTTCTTTGGGGAAAGAAATTCATTATTGCATTTTTGTTACTTGAAAATAATACTTTTCCAAAGAAATTGAGTACTTTGTAACTTTGCATTGTTTGCTCAGACAAAAGACAAACTTAAGAATGATGTTCCCTTAAAAAATTTGATAGAGCCAAGCATTTAACACATTTGTATAGTTTTGCTTCTGGAAACAATCCTTTAGGAACAAAATTTCCTGGTTTGCCAAAGTATGCTTGTAAATATTCAAGGCAATATTTTTAGCATTACATTGTAAAGCAGATTAGTACAACATACACCCACATATTTGCACTAAAAGTTGTAAATAGCCAATCAGGTTTGTAAGACTCGCTGAAGAAAGGGACTCTTTTTTATTCTATAACACTAAAAGCTTACGTAGCTTTGTCATTGATGTATGTGTCGGCCATTTTTGTTTCGCAGTAACTCCCGGCGCTGGCCCCTGATGATTGACCCTCAGGGTCAGGCCAACAAGTGGGTGAAGAACATGGAGAAGGCCAACAACATCCACGTCATCAAACTGACAGACGGAGACTTTGTCAGAACTCTGGAGAACTGCATCCAGTTTGGCACTCCGGTAGGTGGCAAGGTCATGGGGGGTGTTTCAAAGTCATTATCGAGGGGAGGGAGGCGAGAACGAAGTTACTGTATTCAGTTGGCCACTCCGGACACTGGCAAGGTCATATGGGGGTTTCAAGGTCATGATTGAGGTGAGGTACAATGTAGTAGAGAAGGGGGAGAAGAGAAGAAATGGAGTAAGGACTAAAAAAAAGGGAAACATGGCCAAGTAGAACAATGGTCTGAAAAGAAACTAGAGTGAGAGGGAATGAAAGGAAGGTTTGAATGGGAAAGGGAGAAGAATACTGTGCATGGAATGAACAGAAAATAGCAACGAAAGAGCAAGGGATGACATGAAGAAAAGAAGGTAGGAGTGGGGTGGAGGAAATTATTGAATTTTTAGTTTTTGATAAGTCAATTTATACCTAGATATGATGATTTCTAATCATGACTTGTTTCTATTCAACATTCAGCCTGCTAAGGTAGCCATCTGGTGAACTAGTTAGGCATCAGGAAGAAGGTTAAGCCCGTTCAATATCTACGAAACATCCCTAAAATGCAAAATGTGTTTCCTGTTCAGGTATTGTTGGAGAATGTTGGTGAGGAGTTGGATCCAATCCTGGAACCCCTGCTGCTGAAACAGACCTTCAAACAGGGCGGCAGTCTGTGTATCCGTCTGGGCGACTCCACCATCGAGTACTCGCAGGACTTCCGCTTCTACATCACCACCAAACTGCGCAACCCACACTACCTGCCTGAGACTGCTGTCAAGGTGGGTTTGTCCTTATATGGTCTGTCAAGGTTTGTCCTTATATGGTCACACTGTCAAGGTGGGGTTCTCCTTATATGGTCTGTGAGGATCTGTTTGACCTTCTATGGTCACACTGTCAAGGTGGGTTTCTCCTTATATAGTCAAGATCTGTTTGTCCTTATATGGTCAGACTGTCAAGGTGGGTTTGTCCTTATATGGTCTGTCAAGATTTGTTTGTCCTTAAATGGTCAGACTGTCAAGGTGGGTTTTACCTTATATGGTCTTTCAAGGTGACTTTGTCCTTATATGGACTGCTATGAAGTTTGTTTGTCCTTATATAGTGTGGGGTAACCCATATTACCTTCTATTTAATTACCAAGTCCTATACTCAATGTAAGATCCCATCACTGCTGGACAGCACTTGTAACCTAGACTCCCTACTTTTCCATAGGTTACACTGTTGAACTTCATGATCACTCCTGAGGGTCTGGAGGACCAACTGCTGGGTATCGTGGTGAGGTGTGAGAGACCTGAGCTGGAGGAAGAGAAAAACCAGCTGATCGTTCAGTCTGCTGAAAACAAGAAACAACTCAAGGAGATCGAGGACAAGATTCTGGAGGTAAGATCTGCAGTATCTTTCTTTGAATTCTTCAGTAGACATAGCAGGTCATTGATAACAATGTCCAGACTCTTTCTATAACTATTTTTAAGAAATAAAAATGAATTTCAAAATGATTTCGAATCAGTTTTAGCTCACCGAAGAACTACTCTTCCACTAGTACTGGTTGTGACATAGAAGATACATGCCATCTACAGTATTTACAGGTTCATTGAGAAATTCCCCTAATTTTTTTTTGACAAGCAAAATGAACAGTGGATCACAGCTTAATGTCTTGTCCAAAGGACTGTAACCCTCTCTAGCAGCATGCATGTTGGTTGAACAACAACAGCCGGGATTTGAACTCCCAACCTCTTGGTCCAGAGGTAATTAAGGTCACTAATCACTGGATTATTCACGCAACCAAAGAAAAAATTGCATGATCTGCAAAATTACATATAAACATACATTCTCTTCCTGTCCACCCCTATAAACAATTCTTTCATGGTATGTTCCAGGTTCTCTCCGCGTCAGAAGGAAACATCCTGGAAGACGAGACTGCCATCAAGGTGCTGTCCTCCTCCAAGGCTCTCGCCAACGAAATCTCAGAGAAGCAGGCCATCGCCGAGGAGACGGAGAAGAAGATCGACACGGCGCGTCTGGGCTACATCCCCATCGCAAAACATTCCACCATCTTGTTCTTCTCGATCACGGATCTGGCTAATATTGAGCCCATGTACCAGTACTCTCTCACCTGGTTTGTCAACCTCTTCATCATGTCCATTGAGAACTCTGAGAAGGCAGAAGATCTGGAGAAGAGGTGAACGTCTGAAGTTGTGCTTTTCCTTAGAGCTACACCTCAGGAACGGGGGCATTTAAAGTTCATTAGATGGCAACACAACAATAATGATCTTTCAGCACCAAGGGCAACACATAAGCTACAGCTAGGGGTGTCTTTAACATCTTGTATAACTAGGGTCAGTAATACAAGTTTTTTTAGCAACACCTCAGGAGTGGAGGCATTTTAAGTCCATTGGATGGCAACACAACAATAATGACCGTTTCAGCACCAAGGGCAGGACATTGGCTACAGCTTTAGATACCTTTAGAAGTGCCAGGAAGTTAGATTTCAAGCCTGTCTTTGCCTAATTTTCATGCTAATTTGTATAGAACATAATACCACATTTATTCTTCCTAAAAAAACATAGGAATTAGCCCAGTGCATTGATTGCCTTAGCTATAAATAGCATCTAAGACACTTATTGCATACTTTGGAAGGGTGGTACTATGTACGTAATACAAAATGAATCAAGCAACTGGAAAATGAAGAGAAGAGTCAGACATTTCAGATAGCATCCACAATCTTTAACCTATGACTAAGGTTAGAGGGATAGCTTTCAATAAGATAAAGCTAGACTGATATTCACATTGATTTTCATCATGTTTGTTTCAGACTGAAGAACCTGCGTGAACACTTCACCTACTCCCTGTACTGTAACATCTGCCGGTCACTGTTTGAGAAAGACAAGCTGCTCTTCTCTTTCATTCTCACCATCAACTTACTCAAAGGTAAGTCTATCATTAAATTTTATAACAAAGAATATATCTATGGCTTCACAGTTACAACCTATATTTATTTTGTATTATTAAAAGTTGTCTATAGAAACAATGGCATCACTAGTACAATCCAGTAATACAACATAAAAACATAAAAAGGCACATATTTGATGGACATGCACTCACTCTTTCATTGGTCAAAAAGTTAACTGCCATTCTCTCATTGGATGAATGCCTTATTGCAAATGGCTAGTCAGGATTAGTCTATTCTAGCAGACTTGCATCTCATTGGTCAGTGTTGATAGAAAGTTAATTAGATTGCCAGAGGTTGATGTGCAGATGTTCCCTCCCCCACAGGGCAGCCTTATATAGTTTTGGATGAGGATGATGATAGAGTGAACCCACCTATTATCCCTGGTAGGCAGGACTAGGCAGATATGTTCATGTTCCAGTGGTCGAAATACTTTTTTTCAGTGCTCTGCAATATTGCAGAAGAGTCAAAATTTTGTTCTGCAATTTGGGAAAACTTTCTGCAAAAACATACTAAAACATACTAATAAAAGACACAAAAAACAGTTACTCAAGTAGCTGTATATAATTTTGGTGCTACCTAAAACGGTCAGACTACTACCTTTCATCAGTGACACTAAGAGACTGAAGGAGAACTGCAGGTTTATAAGCAAAAAGTATTGATTTATATGCAAATTAGTGAAGACAAATTTTTGGAAGTCCAAAAAGAAACAAAAGATAGACAAGTCAAGACAAGGTTGATGCAAATTAGTGAAGAAGCTCCTGTTGTTTCAGATCTAGAACAGGAGCTTAAGTGTTGTCTGTCCTTGGGGCCAAGAGCACCAAATCCCAAGTGCCAATTTTTCCTGCTGCAAAATTGCAGATTGTATAAATTTTTCTTCTGCAATCTTGAAAATCTATCTGCAGATTGCAGACTGCAGACAGGTATTTCGAACACTGTGTTCAGATTCTAACAACAGTTCACAAGTTCAGGTTGAGTTCAATTCTGTATAACATTGTTCAGAAAGTTCAGATTCAGTTGATTTTTGAATAGGAAAGAACAGTTGTTCTTTCTAAGGCAAGGTTCAGTTTCATCTAGTCTGTAGGCAGGAGTAGACAGAAATGTTCATTTGAGATTCTAACAACAGTTGAGAAGTTCAGTTCAGAATAGGAGAAAACAGAAACTGTTGTTACTTGTTAGATATCTTGAGTGTACATATGTAGATCAGGGTTCAATAGTTTAGTTTCTGTGAAATGTATTTGAACTGGGGAGTTTTACTGGGTCACTTTCAGGCTTGACATGACTTTTAATGTACATTCAGCACCAAGGACAAGACCGGTATGACCTTACTAGTAAAAGAGTGATTATTCTGTCAAAATCTATTCCCTCCACCAAGCAACTGAAGCCATTCAGCCTTCCAAAACAATACTTCTGTACCTGGAACTAACAAGAAATTCAATCTTTTTTTTCCTTTGTCACCAGGTGAAGGAAAGATCCAGGAGGAAGAGTGGCGTTTCCTGCTGACAGGTGGTATCGGCCTGGATAACCCCTACTCTAACCCCTGCACCTGGCTCCCTGCTAAGTCCTGGGATGAGTTCTGTCGTCTGGATGAGCTGGACCACTACAAGGGCATCAGGAAGAAGTTCACTCAGTACAAGGATGCCTGGAAGGAGGTGTACGACAGGTATGAAGAAAGCAGTGTATTTTTTGTGTCATTCCTGGACTGTGATATACATGTAAGGTTTACAAATGTAGTGCTGGTGTTCTGGACTCGTCTGTATTTAATGGTATCTCATGGATTTGAATGCTCCTCACATGCATCACACACACTGCTGTTAAAAATTCAAATATTTTTACATTTTTTTGAGGATACCTAGTGTTCTCAACTTCTGGTGCAAATTTTTGTATCAAAATGTGTGTTTTCTGTTGTATTTGATGTTTTTTTATATAATACATAATATTACTGATCTTGAGAAATCAAAGACCATTTGCCACCCTAAAGGATTATTGAAAAGTATCATTATTCAAACCTTAGATGATAAAAAGATTCTGTGCTGTGTTTATGACACATTCAAACCCTGTTGTTTAACTCCCAACAGTTCTGAGCCCCATGTCTCTACCTACCCTGCTGAATGGGCCAGCATGGACAATTTCAAGCGTATGCTCGTCATGCGATGTCTGCGTCCGGACAAGATCGTGCCCATGGTCCAGGACTTCGTCACCGCCGAGCTGGGCAAGAAATACGTGGAGCCGCCGCCGTTTGACCTTGGGAAGGCGTTCGGGGACAGCCACTGCTGTGCACCGCTGATCTTTGTGCTGTCCCCTGGTGGGGACCCCATGGCTGCCCTGCTGAAGTTTGCAGATGACATGGTAGGGGGCGCTCATCTTCTTAACTATCACAATATGCTAAGACTGAAAACCATATTTCCAGCTTTAAACACACTCGTAAGGCGTCATATTTTTGCACCTCCATTTTCTAAATGGCACTTATTTGCAATGGAGTGGGGTTGATTCAACTTACTTTGTAAATAAATGACTAGAAAGTTAACTTCTAAGTATAGTCCTAATGTTACATAATGCAGCTTTTTACACTTTGCGTTACTAAGGTTATTATGACAGCTTTTTTGGCAACACCTCAGGAGTGGAGGCAGTTTAAGTCCATTGGATGTCAATACAACAATAATGGTAATTTCAGCACCAAGGACAGCACCAAAACAATGTGCCTAATTTGCATGCTATTTTTTGCCAACAATATTTTGCCAATCTTCCATCCAGCTGTTCCTATCTTGTCCCCCAGACAGCTTTTTAAAAGAATTTTCTTGTTCCCCCTCAGGGCTTTGGTGGCACCAAGATGGACTCCCTGTCTCTGGGACAGGGTCAGGGGCCCATCGCCATGCGCATGTTGGACAAGGCCATGAAGGAGGGGCTGTGGACCGTCCTGCAGAACTGCCATCTGGCCGTGTCCTGGATGACCACTCTGGAGAAGTTCTGTGAGGTAAGAGGTCATTCTACAAGCTAAGAGTCTCAATATGTCAGAGCTATAATTATGTATGGTGGCTTATGTCTAGAACTTTAGATGGCAAAAGTGTGATGTTTAAAGTGTGTTATGGATTCCTTCACAGTCTGTTAAGTCATTCTTACTTCCCTATATGGAAGTATTAAATTAGGTGGTTGAGCTGTGTGTTTGAGTAGGTTGAAAGCATGTGGGTGGTGGCAAGATTGACAGGCAGAATGCCATCAGGAATACTTAGAGGTTGACATGGGGGGAATTCAGGAAGCCAAGGATTGCATGAGGGACCCTCCAATACCTCCAGAAGTCTAAAATTTCCGATTTCTTGTACCCCTTTACAGGAACTGAACCCAGACACTGTCCACCCTGACTTCCGCCTGTGGCTGACCAGTTACCCCTCGGAACACTTCCCAGTCACTGTGCTGCAGAATGGTGTCAAGGTACAGATGTTTTGCTAAAATTCTTTTCATAGATACAGTATCAGCTCTGTTCATAATTCTGTAGGAAGGTAGGAGGGAAGGAAGGAAGGAAAAGAAGAAGGGGAGGGAAGAAAATGAAAAAGAAGGGGAAGGAAGGACAGAAGAAAGGAGAAGAGAAATAGAGAAAGATTCAGGTTTTCTTTTTGATTCCTAATGATCATGAATTTGCCCTGAATTAATGTTTTGTTTTTTCAGATGACCAACGAGCCCCCCAAAGGTCTGCGTATGAACGTGGTGGGATCCTTCCTCATGGACCCAATCTCAGACCCAGACTTCTTCGGTGGCTGCAAACAACCTGTAAGTATATGATTACTTAACAGTCACTGTAGTATTTCTATTTAATGATCATTATATCCAGGATCTAACTTCAAAACATGGCTTAGGGATGACTTAGACAGAAGAGATGCTGCTTCAGCAAACTCAACTTAGTTTAGTGTTCTCTTGGTCTTGTACTGAGCAAATTTGTTTAAAAAAAAAAATAATCGTAATATCTGTTATTCCATTTTTTCCTCAGAAATACTTTAAGAAGATGTTGTACGGTCTCTGCTTCTTCCACGCCCTGGTGCAAGAGCGGCGTAAGTTTGGTCCTCTTGGATGGAACATCCCGTACGAGTTTAACGAGACAGACCTGCGTATCAGCGTCCGACAGCTGAAGATGTTCCTGGATGAGTATGAGGTCAGTGTACTACTAACTGTGACAGTTAAGCTGTTTTACTGAACTGTGACTGAAACTGCAACTGATCTAAGCTAAGGGTACCCTCTCAAGAAGATGACTGAATGAATGAATGATAGAACAAAGGATGAGTTGATAAAAATTGACTCTTCCTCTCTGAAATTCTTGAATTTTGTAGCCTTAAGTGTCATTTGTGCAAATTTACTGATACCACTTGAAGTGGATGCTGAAAATGCATATTATTAATCATTTCACATTGTCATTTTCAGAAGAATTATATGTGGCGTTGCCCAAAAATAAATAACAGCAATATTTGATTTATGAAGACTAAAGCCTTATTGAAGCAACAATAAGTACAGCAATTTTTTCATGGTCAGCTAGTACAAAATAGAAATACAAAATAAATTTATGATCATTAATATACATTAAAGTTACAAAAGTCATTCTTGAACAGCTTACACTCCTCCTGTGTGCTGTTTTTGTCCCTTCATATTAGATAAATAAGTCAATAAATTGTTTATTTCCCAGGACGTTCCGTACCCTGCGCTGCGGTACCTGACCGGTGAGTGTAACTACGGTGGGCGTGTGACAGACGACAGAGATCGCCGCACACTCAACACCATCCTCAACAAGTTCTACTGTCCTGAGATCTGCCAGGACGGGTACAAGTTCTCACCCAGCGGGCAGTACTACGCTCCAGAGGAGGGAGAGGTAAGTGCCTTATTACCTTATTATTCCTGAAGTGCTAAATATTTCCCAGAGGTATGAGATCTTTGAACTCTTGTTTTACAGTAATAGTGGTGTTACTGAATGTGTCCCTCTTCAAAAATGTTGCATAGCCTCTACCAGGCTTTAGGAAGTGGCCTGAAAGAGTACAAATTGGCCAAATAGACAGATGGCAAACTGTTCTCTTAGCGTGTACCAACTCCCCATGCATATCATTTGGCCAATTTCTACTCATTCCAGCGGCTTCCCAAAGCCTGGTTAAGGCTACACTTGCAGATCTAGAGAATCATTTTTCTCATATTATTTGTTTTTCATTTTCCAACAGTCGACAGACCACTACCTGGAGTACACCAAGAGCCTGCCCCTGATCCCAGCCCCGGAGGTGTTCGGTATGCACTCCAACGCTGACATCACCAAGGACCAGGGAGAAACCAACGTCATGTTCAACAGTATCCTCCTCACACAGGTTAGAAACAGCATAGTTACTGTTAGGAGGAAAAGCAGTAGACTGATCCTCACTGTCCATCACAATTAGCAGTTCAACCAATGACAGAAAAGCAATTACTCGGTTCAACCAATGAGAGACAGCCTACACATGTACAAATAGACATCCATTTTGTACCCAATTTTTAGGGGGGGGGGTGAGTACAAGGAGCCCTGTTACAAAACATGCAGTTTTTTCAAACTTCCAAATAAGGAATTTTGCTACTGTATTGCATCAAGATACACAGTATGTAATATGTACATTTCTTGTATTGTCAGTGTGGATTGTGATACAAAATATAGCCTATTCTTAAATATTTCTTTGGGTATACATAGTACTAAGTAACTCCTGTTGTTCCTAGGGGAGGGCATCGTCAGGAGGCGGCAAATCCGAGGACGAGCAGATCTACTCGGTGGCCGGCGACATCGTGGCCAAGCTGCCCAAGAACTTTGACACGGACGCGGTTCTGCGGAAGTACCCGACGTCGTACACACAGAGCATGAACACTCTGCTGGTGCAGGAGATGACTCGCTTCAACGCCCTGCTGTCAACCATCAGGAGCAGTCTGCAGAATGTGCAGAAGGCCATCAAGGTAAGCAATACTAACATAATTATGTGTTATTGTTACAGTAGAAAGTATTGTTTTGGATGGGTTTGTGTGTGGGTTTGTGTGTAACAAGCAACACCATAAATCTGGAAAAACACTCTTAACCCAGAAAAAAAGTGAATATAAACACATGGTTTGATGAAAACAATTGACATTTCTAAATGAGAGAGTATATGATAGCAATTATGTACTACTAGGTAACACTGACAAGTCTCTAGGGACTTGTCCAATTCTGCAGAATTCTGCAGAAATCCATCCATCCAACTTTCTTTGATCCATCCATCCATCATCCACCCACCCATCAATACATCCATCCATACATCCACCCACCCATCCATCCATCCATGGATGGATGAAAAAAATATTTTCCCTTGTGTTTCTTCTTCTTCTTCCATTTGATAAACTGGATTCAATTGTAAAACTGTAATTTGTTTATAATAATTAATATTTGAATGTCAAAAACTCACCCATTCCTCCCCTCCATTCCCCAGGGTCTGGTGGTGATGTCTTCAGACCTTGAGGAGGTAGTGAACAGCATGCTGCAGGGTAAGATCCCCGGGATGTGGATGAAGAAGTCTTACCCCAGTCTCAAACCGCTGGGCAGCTACGTCAACGACTTCTTCACCAGACTCAAGTTTCTCCAGGCAAGTTTATCAGGCTCAGTTAAGAAGTGGTTTTCAGACAAGTTACCTTGAAATATTGATACTGTGAAGCGCTAAATGTTTGCTTTGGTTTCATTTTAAATTAATTTTGCAGTTTTTGCTGTGTCCTTACTATGAAATTGCTGTGTCCTTACTACGAATACTGATATTTGTATAAATCTGCATGACTGGGAATGTTCTACAGATTCTGAAGTGTTTCAAACGACACCACAAAAATGTATAAATTTACAAGAGCTAAAATGCCTCTCCCTACTTAAAAGTAAGCAAAGTGGGCTGTACGTAGTGTGTGGAGGAATTCAGGAAGTGGTGTATGATAAGCTCTTGAAATCCACTCAGTACATGTGTGTACATTCACGAAAATCCTTTGGAACACATCCTATAAGTTTTAAAATCTTGGATTTCATGTTTGACAATTCTTCCCTCTGCCTTTACTGTATCTAGGACTGGTACGATGGTGGGCCTCCCCCAGTCTTCTGGATCTCTGGTTTCTTCTTCACCCAAGCCTTCATGACCAGCGCGCAGCAGAACTTTGCCAGGAAGTACACCATCCCCATAGATCTGCTGGGCTACGAGGAGGAGGTACTGGAGGACCGCAAGTACAACGAACCGCCGGAGGACGGTATGTAACTCTGCCTCAGGCCATGCACTAATTCTGATATTTTTTTAAAGCAATTTCAGGGCAGTAAACTGTCTTTCAAAGCAAATTTTTGGTTCGAATCAAACCCATCCCATATCATACTGATGTCTGTAGCATACTATACAAGTCATCATTGTATCTTTAATTTTCTTATGCATAATCTATAGTTCAAAGCAAAAATGCAGGGTTTTAAACACCTTCATGAATGATACTTGAAGTCAAGACTGTTTCTTGTTCTTCACTGTATTTGCTCTTTACAGTGTCAAATATACATGTAACTAAGTGTTTGTTGTTCTGTCTTAGGTGCGTATGTCCAAGGTCTGTTCCTGGAGGGATGTCGGTGGGAGAGGAAGACCAAGAAACTTGCCGAGTCTCAGCCGAAGATCCTGTTTGACAAAGTGCCAGTGGTAAGTCTTGACTTGCTTTCAACCTGTTACAGATTGTGGTTAGGGTTGCTATTAACTCAGAACCTGAAGGTTCTGGGTTCGAATCCCTAGAAGGCCCTCAGTGTTGTTTCCTTTGTTGTGCTACCTCAACCAGACTATTTTGACCATGCAAGGTTTTTCAAGATTTTGCATTTTGGAGCAACTCTTGCAACTGAAATAACTGCATGTGTGTGTGTAGCCAAGCATACAAAAGTCTTTTTCTTTGTTGTGTAAAGTTACTTGTACATTGTTAATTACAAGTTAAAGATGATCATTATTCTTTGTCATTACATAGATCTGGATGAAACCAATTAAGAAGTCTGAAATCGAGGACGGATCTCGCTACATGTGTCCAGTCTACAAGACCAGTGAGCGGCGTGGTACGCTGTCCACTACCGGTCACTCCACCAACTTCGTGACCTACATCAAACTCCCGTCCGAGCAGCCCCAGAGGCACTGGATCGAACGTGGCGTCGCCATTCTCTGTCAGCTAGACGATTAGTCATGACCTGGTTTCTTCAACCGGCAGGAGTTTGAATTTCAGAATTTAAGAACCGTCCACTTCAATGGGTAGAATTGCACAAAATATACTAAAGGTCTGATTTTATGTTTATGTCATGAATGTGAAAAAAGTTATTCTCGTGCCTACCTTTTAATTCATTTTTAAAAATCTAAAACAATTATTGTTTGTGTATTTCATCAACTGTTCAAATACAACGATGTCAAGTACACTGTATACACAATTGAAGTTTACAGAACTACAACATTGTTTGCTATAAGTTTTGCTTCTGTGTGACATGTTCTTTGTGATACATGTACTTGCAAAGCTCCATTGTACCAATGTTGCCAAGGGTAACAAAACCCATCAAAACAGTCTACATTTATACACAACTTTTATGTAAATTAGCACTTGACCATAGCACACAGCATCTGTGAAATTCTATGCAACTATTTCTGTGTGACAGATGAATGAATTTTAATGGAGTGAAACATAAATTTTTTAGAGCCTAAATGGCATCATGCTGCTTGTGAAATTAGAGTGTAAAGTTGTAAATATTTCATACATTTGGAGGAATAGGAATGGGATACTTTCCTAGTACAATGTGAAGTGTGGATGGAATTTCCTACATCCTACACTGCAGAGTGGTTGAAAAGGGGACCAAAGTTTGACAATTTGTGTTTGCAAGAATTCAGTCTTGTTTTAGGATGAGTATATTATTTGTTCTTCTTATTTTTAATAGGACACAGCTTTTAAGTGGTCTGTTTTTATCTGATTTTCCATCCTATGCACAGTGTAACATACTAAGTGAAGACAAGAAAAATCTAGGAGTGTGTTCAAAGAAGTGGTTGAGGAAACAACATGTAATGATAAAAGATCTTTTCTCTACTTTTACCTGAATGCTGTGATATAATCCATTGTGAAATGTCATATTTTACTTTTTTGTGTATATATGCTGGTGTTTTTGGAAATTAAGATTATATAGTCTTTCCTGTATCAGGCTACTGATATATTCACATTGTAGGTGCATAAGCCACACCACTGTATTGTGATATACAATGTCATCTAATTCTTTGGAGGGTGCCTTTTGACACTGTGTGTGCACAGCAAACTATCTCAGTCATCAGTGATTGTTCTTGAGATTTTCTACAGAATATATGTATGATGTGATGGCTGTATTTTTCTATTCGTAAATAAGACAAGCACAGAATCTAGCATTTATCACCGATTTGTGTTGAATAAAGAGTTGTTGTGTATTACATGTTTGAACTTTTTTTTAATGAAATGCCACAGTTATGTATAGAAAGTCAGCGAAATGTGAAAAGAAGGTAACCGGCGTTTAACATGTTTTCTGTAGCGTTTGTGTGTATGTGTATGAAATGACAAGACTCTTTGATCCAAATTAAGCCAACACCACTAACACTAGGGGATCAACACTTGCAGTGGCCAAGGCTCTGGCAGACGGCTATATGCTGTTCGCAGGGTTTCAAACAGAAATATCCAACATTGCTGGGAAAATATGATTATTGTTTTACTAGTATTATTCTCGGTGATTAAATAGTGAGTTGATTAAACAAGAACAACATGTGCACCCTCATGTAATCACACATGGTACGGTCCGTTCGACCAGGTGCAGCTGTGTGACGCACCCCCATGTAATCACTCTTGGTACAGTCCATTCGCCCAGGTGCAGCTGCGTGAGTTGTCGTGCGGCGTGTTGTGCGAGATTTGCCCTAATTTTGGGGCTTTTTCTCGCAAGTTATCCTTCTTAAAGTGTACAGTTAGCCGTACGAATGTTTCCAGGATGGATTTATGCCGTTCTTTGGATGTTTGAGGGAGATAACGAGCATTTTCTGACGGTGCAAAGTTTTGGACAAGAATTTGAAGAAACGAAAATGGCGACTGAGGTGGCGGGAAAGACGGCATGGTGCTGGAAAAGACAAGTTCTGCTGAGGTAAGACAGCAAACTATCTCGTTAAATGTGTTTCCAACGTAGCAACAATTCACGTTATACAATGTCATGTATTCCTCCTGCAAACTGGCATGCATTTTTGTCGTAGAAATGTACGCGTGTTCTACAAATTTTGTAGCTGTTTTGCATTGTCTACTGCCCACGTGCTTGGCCATTTCTAGTATCTTATGCCAATTATTTTCTTCTAAGCACTGTATGTATTTCGTCTGCGTAATGACATTGGCAAAACGTGGCTAATTTCCGTGCTGGAAAACTGACAAATATGTTTGTTTTGTTCGAAATTTCTTATCTTTGACACCTGTTGGAATGTGCTGCAAATGGACATAATCAAATCATTAAATTTTTCCCGCCAAAAAGTTCCGTAAACAAGGCTTCCTTAACTCTTGAATACTTGCACTTATTATTCCAGGACATAGCAAGTTGTTGCATCTCTATACAGGTTTTTCACATGTGCCATGGTGGATTACAGTGCATGTCTGTTAACATGCTGCTACTTTTAAAAAAAATCTTAATCAATTTAACTGCCAACACCTGGTTGCTGAGATTCATAATGATTATTATAATGTCAATGAAAAGCCTCTCTACAACATCATCAGTTGATATGAAATTCTTGATGTGAAGTTTACTTATTAAGTTAGGCCACGCCAACTTAATTTTATGGATGACATCCACATTGATATTCGCCTGTGATTTTTGTAAGAACAAAACATTAAATCAGAGCCTTTTCTTGTCTCCTCTCCATAGTTATCTGCCATCCACCTTCCAGCATGGCAACAGACATCTTTGTCCAATTTTGGCATGTTGACCACTGTCAGAAGGCAACAAAATTTCTTCTTTTTTCCCCCCCAAAATCAGGCGAAAATTAATGCGCGCGCTGATGTCATCCATAAAAATCACTTGCTGTATCCTTATGAGTAATAATATGACATTTAAATCAAACTCCAAGATTAGTCCTTTATTTTCTGGTTGGTACCCTTGAAATCAACCCAGGTCAGAATTTTGGGCATTTTTGCTCCATGAATGTCTATGTACATTTGGACAGTGTTACTTCAACTTAGTATGTAGATAAGTGACTAGAATATTGACTTTAAAAAATCTGATTTCCAAGCCCAAAAAACTGCATTTGATGCCTTTAATTTTGTATTTATGAAAATGTGGTTGAATTCCCTTCCAGAAACACGGTGCAAGTGAATTGTCATATAAAAAGGATATAATAAAGAGTGTAATACTATAAAAACGCTGCATGTTTGAAATGTTTAGCTCAACTTTTTTTACATTTCTGCATAGTTCACACATGTATGAATCAATAGTGCAATTTTATCACTATCTTTTATGATTATTCACTGTGATCCTTTCATATCTTTGGTCCATCTTGAGGGTCAGCTGTCCTGATGTTCCTGTCCTGACTGGGAGAAACCTGTGATGGCCAGCGATTTCTGTCCTCAGTAAACCAGCTAATTGACTTGAAGGCAAAGAGTGAAGTGTTTGTAAAGGTGAGATAATTATTTAACGTTACATACAAGCAACATAAGTTTTAAACCGTAACATTGCTATCAAGAACATCTATTTAATAATATAGCAAGAGCCTAACTCCAGTAAAACATTCTACCTCCATTCAAGATAAAGGATAGTTCAATTGGTTGGCCTTATCATGATCCTTTATATGTGTGTTATTCAGTGTTGCTTGGAATTTTTTTTTGCATCACACTAATTATCCCTTCACATCGCACAATACTTTTATTCTCAGACTGTTATATTTCTAAGAACTCTGAGGCATGACACATGACCAATGACATTTTTTTCTGAAACATACTTTGACAAACTTAGGGTATTATTCTAAACAATCATTCAATAATTGCCTTCATTTTTTTATGCCTTCAAACACTAATTATTCTTTTATATAGTTAGGTGTGTCCTGATGTTGCTGTCCTGTCCGGGAGAGACCTGTGATGTTGTATGACTTGTGTCCAAACCAGACCAGAGGAGTCAGCAACCCAGTTGACCTGAAGACACAGAGTGAAGAGTTTGTACAGGTGAGACGATTTACAAACCATAGTATCTATAATTTCTATTTATGTGTGAGGAATGCTTTACAATTGCAACTTACATGTGAATTTTTCTTGGAATGTTGCATAGAAAAGCTTTAATATTTTTCTGCCATCACAGTAATTATCCTTTCATATAGATAGGTGTGTCCTGATGTTCCTGTCCTGACTGGGAGAAACCTGTGGTGACGGACGACTGTTGAGACGAGAGCCCAGCAATCCAGTTTACCTGAAAACAGTGGTGAAGAGTTTGTACAGGTGAGACAATGCAGCTTTACAACTCGCATGTTTCTTTCTTCTCTGATGCAAACATACACAGTAATACTTAAGAGCTTAATGCTGTCTACATCTTATTCAAGTAAAGGATTAGTGTGGAAGTTTACAAGTCTTTCATGGTCATTCAGTGTTGACTAGAGATGTTTTTGCACCACACTCATTGTTGTTTCATATATCATCAGGCAATATTGTCCTGAAGGTCAACTGTCCTGACTGGGAGAAACCTGTGATGACCGGCGACTCTATCCAAACCAGATGTAGGGTCAGCAAACCAGCTGACTGCATGAATCACTGAGGGAAATGACTTTGACTTTCTACACGTAAGTCAGACTTTTGAATTTTACAACATTCATGTAAAAGATAAGTGTAGCCAGCATATACGTGAGTTTGATCAGTACCATGCAGGATGCTAACTATGGGAGTTTGTTCTGAAAGCATTTTGTTTTAAATTATGAGTCAAGCATTTCTATAAGACATGGTAGAGCAGGACAACTAGTCAAAGGTAAAATACCGAATTCCCTCCAATTGCGTACGTATCTCCTATATAACGTACTCACTTCTGATTTGGGATCAAGGGAGTTGAAACTCCATCTTCTGAGCCTTTCCGTGGTTTGCCAGGAGGTGACATGATTATTTGTAGAATTTCTCTCCTAAGGCTGCGCGGGTTCGATTTGCAGTGTCCTCTGTCTGAGTCAGGGTTTCCATGCTTAGAAACACCGTCATTGCAGATGACTTAATTGGAGCCAAAAATGTCTGTCAGAGGTGTCTTGCAAGTTGTGACATGGTATTGAGTGCATTATATCAGGCCAATCCCTGTTTTCAATACACTGACTTCTGTTTCTCTGTCCTCAAGATGCGAGACCTGAGACTGGAATGAGCAGGAGGAAGAACTAGACTTTTATTGGCAGAGAAATGTGAAAGAAGATGGGGAGGTGTGAGTATGTTTTCTTTGTTAACACAAGACAACACTCCACATGCACACATACTCGCATTTCTCTCTTTTGCCCATTTCACTCTACTCTGAGGGTCGGCATGCCTTTTTTTCTGTGAGGAGCCATTAAAACTTAATCATAGCCGGTGACACAAAAAATCCTTTGTATCGATTAGTTGACTGCCAAATTGCCTTAAAATCGCTTTGGACCTTTAACCTTAAATTCTCCAAACCCGTAGTTGATTTCCCTCCAAAAAAACTTAACTGACTGCTTAGAAGTTAGATTCCATGTTAATAAAATATTTTAAATTGTCAGTGAATTATTAAGGCAAAATTGCCCCAAAATTGTCGCTTGGATATTTACACTTAAAATCTCCTAACACATACATTTTCCTGCAAAAAAACTAGCCAGCCCGTTTAATTCCACGTCACTGAAAAATTCTTCATATTGTGTAGCTGAATATGCCAAATTGCCCCAAAATTGTTGCTTTGGACCTTCACACTTAAATTCCCCTACCAAAAAACATTGTATGCCGGCTGCGTCTAATTCCACTTTGTAATCCGCTTCTTATCATATAGTTGAATGCCAAATTGCCCCAAAATTGTTGCTTTGGACCTTTACACTTACATTTTGCCGCCAAAAAACTTGATATCTTAGCTGGCCATATCAATTTCACCCTGATACCTTTTTAAGTTAATTTTCCCGCCAAAACAAGGCTAATGGGGACGCTCACCTGTTTAAATAATTGGATTAAAATTTCCCGCCAAAAAACTTAGTATATACACCACTCTAACCTTGAACTTGTGCGCCGCCCTCCCCACTCTTCCTGCCCACCTCCCCACATCTACCTTCTCCCACAGTAGTTACACTGTTCCAACACTTGAGACTTCTTTGGACATGTCACTTCTTCAAACATGTAGTCACCACACTTTGCTACCCAAACACTTACTTCATCAAATGTAGTTTTTCAGTCACATTAGACTTTAGAATGATCTCTTGCTCTCCTGCCGAGTCAATTGCACTGGTATACT